CAGGATCTTTGCGTACAGTTCACTCACATGGATGACAGGATCAGCTGACCGTTTGGAAAAGAAAGGACATGCAAGAGTGATCTAGCATAACCGAGTTTTGCCATATGTATAGAGAGAACTTTGCTATTACTAAGCTGGTTCACTTGTAATGATTTTATAATATTTCTTTTGTATATATGGTATACTGTTACGTATCTATCTTATTAATTGAGAGACAAAAAAAAATATAGTTGACTTGTCCTTGTTAGATTAATAGAATAGTGGTTCTTTGATTCCTAGATAATTTTGAGTTATTTAATTATTAAATAGAGTAGTTTCTAAAAAAAAAAATGGTAAAAAAATGCGTTTTTAATAGAAAAAAAAACCATATAAGATTATTTGACATATGTTTATGTATGCGTAGCTCATTTTTTAAGTTTGTCTTTTGTACTTTTCTGTTTTCTTCTTTCCGGTTTCTTAATTGCAAATGTAGCTTCGTATTTTTGTTTTTGTATATTAACAATTGTTGTTTAACTTATTTAATCCTAAAATTTTCAATTCTCTTATTCCGATTCATACTTATCTCATTTCAGGAAACGAAGCTGCTGGTCGAGATGCAGTTCTTTTTCCATAGTAATCACAGCTAGCTAACAGTCGAGCACCTGGGGCCTTTTTCATAGATCGGACAATGGCAAGAGAGAGAGCAGCCACGATAATTTCGATTGTGATCCTGGCTGTTGCGTGCCTTCACTCTATCGCCGAAGTCAAGGTCCACGCGGAGGCTGCGTCCTTGAACGAGACCGTGCGTCACGATGACTACACCGTTAAGGAAAACGTGGCACCTCTCTTTCACAAATCTGAAAACAAAACCGATGAATTTGCGTATGATCATCCTCACAAAATGTCCGGGAAGCCAACCAAATTTGATATGGAGTTTCATACGGACGATAAAGAGGATTATCAGATTGAACCATCGAGAATGGCTAATGTCACAGCTAATCCAATTGAAATGAATTCAACGACCAGCCAGTCTCTATCGAATTCGACGGAATGCAGAGAGAAACTCATAGTCTCCTGCATTCGAAAAGACTTCTCGGATTTTCTCGATCGCCTGTCAAGAGTTGACACGTACAACGTAACGGAATCTGTGCAAATAATAAGAAATCCTGAAGCAAATGTCACGTGTAATGATCGAAGGAATAACGACGATACGGATTCGAATCTTCTGGATAAGGTTCATCGCTACGCCAGGACACACGTCATGAAAATACAGCTGAACAAGGATCTGGGCCTTGTTAGCAAAGCCAGGACGTTCTTTGGTTGTGAGTTTCTTGGACTGCTTGCTACTCGTTTTTTGTCACGTGTGTACTAGTGCCGTTACTTTTACCGACACGAAAGATGGATTTTTTGAAATTGCATCGCCGGGCGATCACAATCATTAATCATAATTATTATCATTAATCATTATTCGCATGTTGTGGCGCTCGCCGCGAAGCAATTGCGTAATTTGTAATTGATGCAAAGTGAGAGTAATTGAGCTCTATGAAAAAAGAGAATAAGTAAATTTTGTGATCTTACTTCTCTTTAGTTTCCATCTTTCAATTTTATTCTCAAGGTACATGTTAAATAATAAAATTTTTTTTCTCAAGATTATTGTTTGTACAGAGTTTTCGGGAATGAATAAATGAATTTTTTTTTTAATTATTTGATAAGCGACGAATCTAGTACGCTCGTAGACATAATCTAAGCATAAACAAAATCAGGGTGTCAGAGAGCTTTAATTTTATGAATTGGCTCGAAGACATAATCTAAGCATAAACAAAATCAGGGTGTCAGAGAGCTTTAATTTTATGAATTGGCTTTTTTTTGGAACTAAATAAAGGTTGGGTCAATGCTAATTGGCAGAAACGCGAACTAAACCAGCGATGAAACGGGTATAACAAGGAAAAAAACAAGGCGAATATAACATTGTGCGAGCGGTGAAATTAATTATAATTAACGTGGGGATATTTTTATCCGCACGTAGAGTGTTTCAGCAAAACGCGTGGCACGCGGAGTTGCAGAGGTAGAATGTGAAATGATGCTGATTGCGCAGCATGGCTTTCAGGGCTAACCGCAGGGCTTTAACAAGCTGGTACTTTTGCTTTCAGCCGTCTTTCAGGGAAAGCTTTTTAACAGGATTCGGACTTGGTTTTCTAGCGTTCGGTCTGAAGAAACTATTGCTACCCCTGATCTTTGGCGTGCAGATAATTAAGAGTGTGTTACTCGCCCTCTTCCTACCGAGTATTATCGGCAGTATTGGTAATATTGTTGGGAAAGGTACGTATCTTTTTGCGTGCAGTTTATAAATTAAATTGTAAGAGTAGAGATATTTTGAAATAATTAGTAATAAGTGACATGGCCATCTATTATCAATTAAAATATGCTATAAGTATCTGCAATATGTGGTAAGTAATACAAATAAATCGAAATCTAATTTAATTAACATCGAAATCCACGTACGAGATTATTTAACATTAAACAAAAAATTAATAGATTCTTTGCCTATTATTAATAGGCAATATTAAAATTTCAGAGAGATATAATACTCTTGTGAATATATGTAAATTAATTTTAAATGAACTTAATAGAATTGTCTTAATAGAATTGTATCTTGAAATTTGGAAGATCAGTAAAGTTAATGTTAGAAAGTCAAAAGTAGCGAGATAATACGGCAATGAAATCTTTATTCAGAAGGAACGGTTTATCTTTTCTTCTTAAGGAATGTTGCTGTGTGGAATTCGCATAGTAACACACATTAATATTAATTCAGAAAGTGTTTATCATTAACTAAGTATTATACAAATGTGTGTTATGCTGAAATTACAGGTGTTTCCTCCTTTGCGCAATCGTCGCATACCGCGCCCATAGCACCCGAGGAAAATTTCGAGTTCAAGGATAACACTGACCTGTACAACGACGACTATCTGACGCGACAACCCTTAGGAACGTTACCAGCATCCGCCATGTATGATGAGAGCATGATGCAAACGCAGAAAAGCCCGGATATTGCGTCTCGCTATGCATTTGTCGATACAAAAGTATCTCACGCAAATGCGCTTTCGGATCGTTATTACACGCGACACGTGGCTTCACACGGACTTTCTAAAAAACAGGACTTTAAGGTGAGCTTTTTGAATATGCAATAATACAATTATTCTCTTTCTCTTTCTCTCTTTTTGAAAAAATCTTACATTGTTAAAAATATTATTAGGTAAATGATGCATTCTATTACACAATTTCTTGGATTCTAATAGCAATAACGCGTCTCTCTTCATATATTTAACACAAATTTAAATATAAAGGACGAATAAGTATCGGGATTTTGTAATTAATATTTGGTAAAATCTAATTCTCTTATTAAACGTTTCTTTTTAAATTATATTTACTAGAAAAAATACATTTTATTTTGTACATATTGCTATCGCATTATCAGTCGCTCACTCTTAGGAAGAACTTTTTATCGATATTTGCATAATAAACTAGGTAAGTATGCCATAACAATACATTTTCGTCTTCTTTTTCTACTCGACCGTTTCCTCACATTATCAACGATTAGCGCGATGCTATGCCTTCCACTTTTGACACTCTCGCCTATTGAGATTCACGCGACCCACTTCCTTACTGACTTCATTCCAACTTGTTCGACAAGTGCGGCGCCTAGCTTGCGTGTAATAGATACGGCGATCATCGAATGACCACACATTGATTATTGGTGGCAGGTCTTCCACGAGATCCCGACGAGCTCCCTGCTCCTGACGAACTACGACCCGTTTTACTCACCTCTGTTATCGCGTCTCGACGCCGTGTTCTCCCGTCTCGGCCACAACACAGAAGGCTGCAGGGAATACGCGGTGTGCGCGATGTACCGGAATCCGGCACGATACGCACCCTACTCGAACCTGGTCTCTGCCCAGCTGTCCAGGGAGTTGAACGAGCTGAGGAAACCCAGCAGCGACAATCCCGACGTTCTGCGCTTCTTCAGGTACATGAAGGCCGCCAAGGACGGCCAGGATGGCGTCAAGTGCGAAGAGATCTATGCCGGTTGTGCGCATGGTCGCGAGGATCAGACCGCGAAGCAAAATCAAGCGATGTTGGCGACGTATCAAGACATCAACAAGCTCGTTCAGGCCAGAAAGATCTAAAAAAACATATTTTGTTTATTAGTAATTGCTATCAATTGCGAATGCGATAAAGGAAGAAGATGCGTCTCGAACTTAGAGCTTTAGAAACAGTCGTCTGTATAATTTTGATCGAATTTAGTGCAGTTGTTAAAAAGTTCAGCGTCTGCTTTTAATTCGTTCGCAGATTTTGTACGTATGTAAAGTTGATAGATATTCTCTCTCTTAGTGGCGGATCATAGACAAAGCGCTCATCTGAAGCCTCAAGACGCAAAGATACGATTTTCATTTTCGACAAAATTTATTAATTTTTCGATTTTATTAATTTTAGACATTAAGAATAGTATTTAACGTTCTTTGAAACTTCCTCGGGGTTTTAGATTTTGATAAGAGTTTAGATAAGAGGACTTGAAATCGATTTGCGCTTGGGGCTCTTGAGGCAGTCTTAATCCAACATTATTAAAGCCTTCAATTTCTATAACTAAACAAACTCTTAATGTATCGTATACACATAGTTTCCTAAGTATCGTTTGTGCTAAATAAGTACTTGTTTGATTTCCGATACAGTCAATTAAGTGACGCACGTAAATCTTTGAAAATTGAGAACTTTTAATAATTATTTATGAAAACTCACAGAAATGATTAAGATGTTATAAATCGTTAGCATAAAAATTTGTTAAAAATTATTCTGACATATTTATTTTATCTTCTGCTATTGCTTTCTTACTATGTTAACTAAATTCTGTTTTTAAAACACGTTTAATCAAGGCTACAACCGTTTACTTAATAAACAATAGTAAAATTATCGTAAGTACGGTGAAAGAAAGCGCATTGAATAAGAGAGATCACGTATACATATGTAATCCTTAAGAAAGCCGGTCATGCATAATTGTGAACAATTAATAATTAACATTGGTATTATTTTCTAAGCATTTTTAAAAGTGGAAACTGTGTTGATACAATGAAAGAGCACTTTTACGTAACGTTCAGCTTTGGATTACGGGAGAAGTACATCAATCTATACTTCTCACGTTGCAAAGCGACATAATAATTGAAGTGTGATCTGATTATAATTTTAATATGGGAATATAGTTAGAGAGAAATGTATCTTTTTTATAAGAGAGTTTCTTCAGGGGATTGATATGCAATTAGGTTACAGTACACTTTCAGTGAATGTATCTTGCATAAAGTTCTTGAATCTCTAAAAAGAACTATAATCTATTTCGTTAAAAAGAGTTATTTGCACAAATGAGAAAATAATTGGTTAAGACTTTAATGACGTAAATGAATTATTATCCCAAATGTGTAGATATAACGCGCGTAGCATTAAAATAATTGTATTTAATTTAATTTATTTATTGAGTACTATATCGAGTAGACATGAGATTTAATTTTGCGATAAACGATTGTGACTTTGGATATTATTTATTTAATGACGTAAATATGAAGATACTAATTTATATTCAATTTGAGCGATATGTCGCCCAAAGCGTACATATGTATTTAGATTAATCTAATGTTATTAAAAACTTGCGCGATTATACCATTACTTTTTCATAATATATTTATAAATTAATACATAAAGAATGTCAAAAAAGACATTTGACATCAGTCATATAGTAAGACTATGAAATGCGTTACAGTTTTCAATATAATTATGTTTATATAATTAAAATTCTATTTAAAATAGGTAAAAAACGGTAAGAACAAAAGAGAGTATTTTGTTTTATTAAAAATGCAAATTGTAATAATTCACTCTTAAGAAAAGCGTATAAAGATGAGGAAAGTTGATTGCTCGAAAATACTGAAATTTATTTTATTATCTCTTTTCCATGATATCTATTAAGTATCGCGATATGCATTATGTATTATTTCATATCAATGCAAATCTGTCATTGAGCGAAGATTGTATAATTTGACAGTTTTAATTGAAATTGAAGAAGAACGAAAACAATTGTAATATTCAACTCGAGCAATAATCTATTGAAAGACTGTCATCGGAAAGATTGTATTTTGGTAGCTTTTTTAGTAAGTATGCGCGGCGTGTTGCTTTCGTCGGTAAGCACTCGACGGTAAAGTCCGTTTGTGACGTGTTGCTTTCGTCATTGATGAAATGCAAAATATACAGATTGCTCAAACACAACTACTAGAAATAATGTTTCCAAAAAATGAAGATGTTACTTGAACGAAACAGGTATTATGATTGATAAGCAATCGAAAATAAAATAAAATCTATTAGAAACGCTTGTAGAAAAAAACTTGGTGAAGGTTTGAAAAATAAGAGAAATGTTACTAAAAATGGTCTTACGATTAAAAGCTTCTTGTACATTCAATTAAATAAAAATTATTTAAAAAATATTATTCTCTCTCTTAACATAAAAAAATTGTTATAATAAAACTTTTAATCATTATACATGTGAATAATAAAGCAGATAACTAAAATAATTGCTGAAATATATGAATGGCAGCCACGTAACGCACATATGCTAATCTCATAAAAACAATATATTAATCAATGTGAAATCTTTTGTAAAAGATGAAATTGTGTAACATCAAATGGGCGGCGTATCACAAAAGCAATAAATGTTATATTATATGTATAACAAAGTGAGTTTTATGACACGAGAATCATATTATGAGATGATAGAAGAAAGAATGGCGATGAAGCAAGAATGACTTTCTGATTTGGCGATGACGCACCTTAGGTTGTAACCTGGAGATGAAAGTACATTGACTTCCTCTCTCTTACAGTGACGCACTTTCCGTCTCCGTTCCTTAAAACTATCTAGTTCCGGTTATAATTCCAGGCACCACTTTCACTTTCGATTTTTGTAGATGTTCCTGCTCGCCGTTCTGGGAACGACTTGCGGATCCTTCCCCCTCTCGAAGAACAAGGTGGTCCATACAGGTAAATATAAAGATGATGCGTGGGTTAGGGCATCACATGGCAGTTGGATAAGACAGTATCCAGTACGTATTGACGTGCACAGTTTATTCGTTATTTAGAACGCCTAGTATTCCGATTAATGAAATTTACGCTCTACTTATCACAGAGAGGTAAGTTATACATACTTTACATTTTAAAAATAAATTTTCTATTACTTTTATAATTAATCATTTTTCTGTAGTTTATTTCGTTTATTTATATTGTCTTTCAAATTTATTTTACTAATTTGCATTTTATTCATACTTTATTCATTTATTATTTCTCTATAAGCTTTTAATCTACTCATAATGGTTCATCTAAAAGAAATACACTGATATTACAGTTTCTCACAGTTTTATAGAATAACAATTCACTTTGCAATTTTACAAATCACAAAAATGTGATTATAAGGTATACATTACTATTATTATTCAAGTGGAATGCGCGCGTGATCAGAATTTAGAATCGAAAAGCGGGCTCTTCTCTTATTCTTTAACTCTGATTGGTGCGCTAATCTAACGGCACTTGGTGAACCAGCACGTCGACTGCCAACAGTCGATCTCGCAGACGTTCGAGTGCTGTTCGAGGATCACCACGAGCGTGTTTTTTGATAAAGATGTCGTGTAGCGAGTGTCGATTATTTGATAGTTTGGTAAGAAATTAAATCGTATTTAAATTGTTTATATTAAAGGAACAAATATATGTGAATTGTATGTGATCATTGCTATATTCCGTGCTTAGTGATAACACAAAATTAATTATGTATACATATGTAAACATGTAAAATATTTTAATATGTTTTATTATAAAATTAAAATAAAATTCCATTATTAGAAAAATAATAAAGAATATAAAATAATTTGGTAATAACAAAATTAGCAATTTAATATAGTTTATATGTCACTTCTCAGAAATGAATAAACATTCTCTGATTAATACTAGATATTGATCATTACGTTGATATCATATGCGTGATGATATTGTGTGTCTTTCAATGTATGTATTTTTTTTGTAAAACGAACTGATAAAAACGCGTGATTACAGGTGGAATAATTAGAAGAGCAGAATGCAACTGCAGCGGTTGTTGGTAATTCTAGGAGTTCTTTTAGTATTGTCCTTGCTGGTATGCTGTCAATCTGCTAGCAAAGTTACATTTCAAGATGGCATTTCTGAACAACAAGCAAAAAAGCAAGGTATGACATTTTATTTTTCAATATATATGCGCGCGTGTAAATATATATATATATAAATTTTATTTGCATATACTTAATGTGTTGAATATAAATAAAATGTTTCCATAAATAAGCATTTTTTATGTTTTACACATTACGCAACTCAAATAAATAAAACGCTATATTTTTACAATATTAAGTCATAAAAGATATAATTTATTTAACTTATTAAAAAAACCAATATTATTTAGTTCAAGATTGTAACATTTAATTTAAAATAAAGACAATAATTATATATATCAATAGAAAATAAAGTTAAATAATATATGTTTATAATTTCAGAAAATTTTGAAGAAACTTCATCGCAACAGAGAGGATTTAATCCTGTTCAACATGTAGAAGATCTATTCCATTATATCGGTCTTGGAACTGGGCGAAATGTCGATCCATACTTGGCAAAAGTTAATGAACGTTGTATAACCGGCGATTTAGCTGAATGTTTCAAATCTCAAGCGTTAAATTATTTTTCGGACTTCTTCGATCATGCCGAATATTCTTTAAGTGATTATGTCCGAGTTAAACGAATGTCTGATCGAGTGGTAACGGAAATAAATCATCAGCCATACGAATATTCTAACGAACCTAGGTATGTTATTATTTTCATAGATATAGACAGAGATAGATGAAAAAAATAAGAAAAGTATATATATATAATTGTATATATTGTATATATTGTATACATTGTATATAGGTAAGTATATAAAGATGTTTATATATTTAAGAAATATGCAAATAATTTTCTTAAATATGATTATTTATCACATTGGAATATTATGAATTATATTGATGAAATATAGACACTACTATTTTTTTCTTAATTAAAAATAGAATATATTCAACAGATCTAGTGAAACAGAATGGGATCAAATGATCAACTTTGTAAAAAGGAAGGTGGAAAGATTTGTCAAGACAATGTCCTTTGAATTGACTATACCTGATACAGAGACTGGTCGCAATGGTTCATATGAGCCAAGATTTCTAGATGAAATTGCTGATGAGATCGATACACTTGAGAATAAGAAGGATACATTATTTTGTAAGTATTTGAAATATTATATAACACAAAAGGAAGTTTTTCCAATATTTAAAAAAGTGATAAAATATTAAGAGTATAACATATACTTGTGCAATATTTGCTTGTACATTTTTATTTTTGTACAATTTAAATAATTTATTAGAAAATCTATTTAAAGTAAAGTTATTAATGTTCATTAGTTTATATTTCATTATTATGGCAGTCTTATATCTATATTTTTAACCACACATTTATGTATAGTACGCTACAAATATCTGTGCGTATCATAATCAATTAATTTCTTTTTTCATTTATTACATAAGATTAATGTAAATAGTATTCTTTTCCATATTTGGAAATTAATTCTAAAATTTATATATTATGTTATTATTTAAAAAGTGATATCTCTAAAAAATCTTAAAAATCTTAAAAATCTCAAAAGAAATGTTTTTATTTAGATTTGCTTGACATAATTTTTTTCGAAAAATAATCAATATTAAATTAGTTTTACTAAATTTACTAATTTACTAATTTCTAATTTATATTTATTATTTATTAAGATAGATTTTATATTTGTTTTAGCTCGTCATCAATTCAGGAAGCTTTTAATACCGGTTTTGCTTGTTTTAAAGCTTTTCAAATTAAAGATACTACTCTTCTTGCCTTTGATTTTGGGATTAGCTTCGTTTAAGAAGTTCCTTGGATTCCTGGCAATCGTCATACCTGGTCTAATAGGTTTCTTTAAACTTTACAAACCGTACCAAAGTTATTACCCGCCAGTTTATACCAAAAACGGCATTGCGCACCCTCATTACGGAGTACAACCGGATATTGATTATCAAGGTCATTATGGAAATGCAGAATCTTATGGTCAAGATTTGGCATACCGTGGATATCAACATTATAAATCATAAATAATTGACTTATTTATCAGAAAGCAGATAATAATTAAATTAAAAGCCGAATTTTTATACAGTTATAAAAGTTATTTATAAATACGACGATGATTTTAATTATGTTTTTAAGATCATTATCATATTTAAACTACTTATTTTTATATAAGAAAAGCGTACTTTTTATATTTTTATTATATATATTGTATATGTTTGTAAATGAATGAAATATGTTGTATATATAGTTCAAATGTGAATGTATAAGTCTAGGACTGCGTTCCGATATTCACTGCTAGTACTGAAAATATAGTGTACGTGAGATGTAAACTATACGTTTTCAATACTGGCAGTTAATATCGGAACGCAGTCTAAATATTTTTTTGTAAAAAAAAATAAATTTCTCTTTAAAAATAGGCATGTTATCGACTTGGGGTCTATCAAACCTCAAGTAGAAAACCTACTTATGTTACAGTCTGATAGACTCCAAGCACAAAACTTGTATTGTTTTTACCGGTTTATATATGTATGTAATTTTATCACATATAGATTAAAAACTAAAAATATAAATATAAATATATTCCCATACAGCACAGATCATTGCAATTATATTGCAGCAACATTGCAATGTTGCAAATTGCAATGCAACATTACATTATTATAAAGTATTAAACAATATACCATATTGATGTATTTGCATACAATATATAAGAAAATCAAATGTGGTATGGCAAATCGTGCGCGCGTGACGCGCGCTTGTGTGTTCTAGTAAATAAAAAAAGTCATGATTTATAAAATTTTTTTGTAGTTACTATAAAAACGTTAGTTTGATATAAGATAATATTTACGCTTTAAGATTAAATTATATTTTATAGAGCAAATCTTTACTACTTTAATTAACAAATTAATTATTAATTGGATATTTTAAAAGACTTTGAATATGCAACAATACATAAAAGGTCACACTTTACCGATTTAATCACCACTTAGATATGTTGTAAGGGGGAGTGTTCTGAATAATTCCCCGCAAGAATCAAGCAGCGGACGGCATTGGTTTAGAAGATATAACAAATTAAAGTTTGACATTAAAATTTGTGTATTTTGTAATAATTTGTTATTTTTTTATTGAAAAAGGCTGTTTACAACATTTACGCGAGGGGCTCTGCCCTTCCCCCGCCCACGCATTCAATAAATAACATTTTTCAAGACAAGACTCAGAAATGTAGTCGATGTAGTTATGTTGAAAGCTGTTAACAAACTGCGAGAAATAGGTGAAACCGATTATTGATAAAATATCTATGACCATATATCTATCCCGTAAATGTAAACAAACACTTTTCCCATGTCTACTCTACAACAAATACAACGTACACAAACTTCACTTTTTTTAATGTTACTTTATAACATCTGAAAAAAAGCATTAAAATAGTGAAATTTTAATTTGTTATATCTCCTAAATCAATACCGTTTGCCACTTGATTTTTGCGGGGAATTACTCAGAACACTCCTTCCTAACAGCTTTCAACATATCTAAGTGGTGATTAAATCGGTAAAGTGTAACCTTTCATGCATATTTATCCAACAATATCAAACTCATAAATCTCAAAAAGTATTAAATTTATTAATTTTTAACGTAGCTGATCCGGTCCAGTTTTTTCTTAATATGTTAAATCAATCTAATCTATTTTAAATGTTATTCCATCTAATTTGTGTGTGTATTTTGACCTATCTATTTTAAGGCAACGGATCTATCTACAATCTACATCTATAATCTCTACAAATCCGTTACCTTAAAATAAAATAAAAATTTGTCATTCACCGACCAATGCGCAGCAGCAAAGTTGATGACATTAAAGCTATTTTGATTTGTAACATAAAATCTAAATTACAAAGAAGCGTCCAAAATAATTAATATTTTAAAAAATTATTATTGTACATATATGGCGAGTTTTCTATTTGCATACAATTGATGATACATGAACAGATGCATACAATAATAAGCAGATATACCTATAATGGAATAACTATGTAAATTCTGAAAAAAATTTTTTTTTTAAATAGAGACTTTTACAGAATTTGTATAAAAGTATTTTTCTCTCTAATATTCTCTTTGCTTATATTGTTTAAATAACCAAATCGAATTAATGCGCGTACACGATTTATATAACAACTAATATATAAATTATAAATATTCACCCCAGGATTACTTCGCTGGTACCCGATGTCTCTCCTAAACTTCCTTCTTCTCTCAGGTTGTCAGGGTTGTCATCAGATTAGTTGACTCACATGTTGTACTCGCGACAGTTCATACAGTTCGTATAATTTACTCGCGAAAAATTTATACAACTTATTATGCGCGATACTTTGCACGACACTTCTACACATATAGACATTTTAAACAACACTCTCTAACTCCGCGATCGCAAAGAAATATTTCGTTTTGCGCGAGGCTCGCACTTCAAGTCGATGAGATAACTGGAGCAAAGATTATAAACCGAAAGCAGAAGAAAATGTAATTGATGAATAGGATCGCGACAATAGTCTTGTTCACGACTTTTGTCTCAGAATACATTTAGGTCTTAAATTGATTCAAATCTTTTTAAATATGATTCATTATAATATCATAGCGGCTTATAGATGTCATGATATCGCAGAAATTATGCTAAGTTATTCTAGCCAATTCATCAAACTAAAACATATACATATGTCTTCAAGATGTAAAAAAAAAGGAGGCCGTGGTTGGTAGGCTACATATGAGGACATGATATGGCAATATCATGTGGTATGAGACAAGAAACAAGATGGTACCAAACGACGATGATCTCATCTTGTCCTTATCAGGCAATCAATTGAATTCTAATCAATTCAAACCGAACCGCTTATTGGAACAAAATTGAAATATCATGCGATGAATCATCCGCTGAAACCGACACTCTAATATGCGCTCATTACGTATGAATTATTTGCGATTTGTAAGAATGCTTTTACAGCATTGTGTAAATAGTATACTTAAAATTATCTGATTAAATTATCTCTTCTTAAAACTTAATTGTGATTAAAGATTCAACATTTATAATATTAAACAAATGTATATTCAAAATTATTCTCATTAAATTCTTTCAACTCTTAATAAAATTTATCAAAAAATGGCAGTTAAGAAGATATTTAGTATAGAACACATTTTTTATGTAATTATTTTTTAAATATTTAATCTCTTTATAGTAAAGATACTAAAACAACTACAAAAAAAATAGAACACAGCAATTTTTATAAGAAGTTAATTGTGCACAAAAATTCATTGTATATAATTTCAATTATATATAGTGTCGATCTAAAGTTATAAATGTAAAGAGAATAAACAGTTTTTTAAAGAAAAATTTGTTGTTTGTGTACAATTTCATAAAAGTAAATATATTTATACATATGTTATAAGATTTTAAATAAATTTAAAAGTTATAAACTTTATCGTAATGTACACAATTTTATTATCACGCTATAGCAATAAAGATTTATAAATTTGAGTGATATTATAAGGAATGTATGTTTGCTGCATTTTTTCATATTAACATTTAAAAATACTAGCATCTTTCATTGCATCGGCGATGTCTCGGTTATTGTGTCAAAGTGCACATTAAATCGCGTAAAAATTCTGCGCGTGATATTCCACTGGTTCTCTCTCAGATGCAATATGGGGAACTATCTTATACGGTGAACCGGTCTGATACGATTCTCACTCGCGATCCAGGGAATCGGATAGAACGGACCCGCTGACCAAGTGGCCTCGTTTGTCGAGAAGACCGGAAATCGCCGTTTCGTGTCGATATACGGAAATCAAATTGATAGAAATGCACATCGATCCTAATCCTCCACGTTGTGATATATCAAGAATTGATATTTTTTAAATTGCGGACACACAAAGATGACAATGTATAATACACTGCATGGTTTGTCCAGATTCATTATTTTTTCTGTAAAGCAGAAGATATTGCGATACATCAGTAATAATAATTAAATTTTTCGTAATAATTTGATGTCATATCGTTTGTAAGAAATTGATAAAAGAGAGAATACTATTTTATTAATACTATATAAAAAATATTTTCATGATATCCAAAGAATTTTTGATTTTTTAAGGCGCGATATTTCAAGGCAAGAAGGAGATGTTTTATGAAATAAAAATAATTAATCTTTTTTTTTTATTTGCAATGATCGCGGTAGTGAAAGGAAATACGAATTATGATATATAATGCGATTGTTTGATTCTTTTGATGCTAGAAAGACGCTATAGTATGTGCAAACTAGTGCACTTATAATTATATAAATTTTCATAGATACGCGTAAGTATATATATGACAAATTACTGACTGAGAACACTAATGCTTATCCTAATTATAAACGCAGCGAAAGCGACGTTTACGTCTACGTACAAAAATGTGTTGTTCGACTTTTCGGCTTTTCTATACTTTCTATTAAATTGCCGGAAGCCAATTGCGAAGGATGAGCTTAGAAACTTTCCTAGTATATATTCCTCTTGTATATTTTGTTGACTCAGTTTTTTATAAAAAAACATAACTCGCTCTAACTCTGAGTTTTATACACACACATACATACATATATATAATACATATAATATTATATACATATAAAATATTGTATATATTCTATATTCTATATACATATAATATTGTATATGTATACTAATAAAGTCTCCACTTGTATGTATATACGCACACACATACAACTCAGTTTCGTATATTAAATAATACGACTGTACTGTTATATGCACTAAATAATAATTAATGATGTATCCTATTATTAACACTGTGCTTTCTTTTAATTAAAATCGTATTATCTTTTTCCGCCATCACGCAATCTAAGTTAGTATCACTTATTATGAGTGTGGGATCTAGGCTACGCATATATGCAAATTAATTCAAACAATCCTAAGGCATTTGCGCAGGGTTCTACATTCCACCAAGCTCTATATACTAGATCATACATCTATCACAAATTATTACTGTATTATTTATGTGTTTTTATTACATATATTATTTTAAAATTTTCCCACGAATTAAGCGTTATAAATTTAAAATACAATAAATAAGCAATTTTAAATGACAGCTTTCTAGAGTGATATTAAATGATTTGATGCTGGTCAATGTAGATATATAAGGTGTATTTGCTATTATATCATAGTTACTTTATTTCGACGAGCAGAGTGTACATTCGAAATTATGATTCCGAAATGCATGTTTGAAATTCGACGTAACGGTGCACCAAAAAACGCGCTCTTTCTTACGAGCGCCTTATGATGGTGTGACTCGTGTGAAGAAAGATCGGTGTATATGAGCGAGCTTTCGCGGCTAGGTCGTGATGTTAACCTCTGTACCTATCTACCTACCTATCTATCGCGAAAGTTGCTCTTACGAGAAAACGGGCTCTAGATTCAAGAACGAGAGAGGCGGATATGGTGCATTTTCTCCAATTTCGCCCACGCCTCATTATCTGTCGATTAAGTATCCAATATATTTGAGAGGTGCTTTAGACTATGGCTGCAAATGTATTATAATTGTTTAAATGGTCTTCTTTATAATTCATTTATTTCATAAATTTATTCCATAAAGACGCATTAGAGAAAAATAGCCACTTGAATTTCTTTTTGGTCTTTCTCTTTTCACAATTTTGTAATTATTTTTTTCTAAGTAAATATAATATAAATTTAGGCCGATGAGGAAAATCGTGTGTGAAAATTGCTCCAAAATTTAATATTATATATAAATATCAAATAATTTTGAAATTAAGACAGATTTTGTAGCAAAATATATATATGATATATTTCAGTATATTGAAACTTGACGATTCATTTATTACTACAACAAATCTTTCAGACAAATACAAATCTTTGGAGTTATTTATAATTAATTATAAACAAAATTGTCTGTTAATCGTTATGTTTAGTAGATCTTTATATACCAGCTTCCTACAGAAAGATGAACCTTACTAGACAGATTTGACGAGAAATTATTTTCAATATAAGAACTTAATTATATTTCTTTTGTGCACGTGTGTTAAATTTAAACAACATCGTATGTTAAGAATAATGAAATTATTTAGCAAGTTTACAGTTCACATGAAACTGCAAGAATTAAAGTAAATTAAATCATTTATTTTTCCTAGATTATATATATGTATATATTGTTATTTTCTTTAATTAATTTTTATTATACCCTGTTAGTATATAATATATCTTGTTTATTGTGGATTAGATAATAGTACTATAAGACAACGCGGGAAAGGAAGATCGGTAAAATATTAATGGCACTTACTCGTTGAAAGTTATCACTGAATAGTGTCTAAATAGAATTTAGCATGCGATCAACCGCGAACACATATGACATGCAATTGTGATAAATCACAGTTGACAATATCTTCGTTCATTCGAGAGGCTCTTTGCCTCTCTTTACTTTCTTCGAGACTTTTGTAATGCGCTTTCTACGTGCGCTCTTTGATTTTGTTTTACAATCAAGTGACGTAGATAGAATTACAAGTGAATGTATTAATGAATGGTGAGTAAACGTGGATAGTATTCTGGATAGTATTCGCGCGTCTCGATAAGGATCTGATAGTTCAAACAGTCTGCGTATAACATGTGATTAGTATTGTCTATGTTTAAGTATACGCACCTAAATATCGCGGATTTTCCGATGAACATGAGAATTTCTCTTCGAATCCTTGTCATTTTAGAACAAATGTATGTCCGGTGCATCATCTGCTGCGCGTCATATGTTGCCACAGAAGTATGTTAATTCGGTGTGGCGACCACATCTCACGCGCTCTTATTAACACTTTTGCAACGGTTTTCGCAAAAATTAATTAAATTCGACCGAGGCAATTTAAAGCGCATTTTGCTGGATACTCGTCTACTTCAGTAATCTCCTCGAGCTACAATAACTCGTTTATTCGAGCGCTTTCCCGGCATTATCGGCTTTCCTCTGACATCGTGCCATGATCGAGTCTCATCTCTCTACTCTAAAAGTCCACGAGTGCGTATAGAGACTTGTGAAAATCTGGGCTTAGAGCCGCGATTAATGTGCCGTACGAGTCGCACGTTCGCGTATAAGGTACCGGGGATGGATGGCATGCGTGCTCCACATCCGTGACACGGTTCTCGCGACCAGGCAAGTCGGTAATGGTCCATCAGAACGACAGCGGCTCGCGTGTTTCCGTGCGGTTCGTTCATGAATCGCGCGATGCCGTCTCAACTTACACAAGGACGAGAGTGTGATGAGCCGCTACTCATATGTCGGTGTTTACCTACGACGCGCACACGACGCGTATCATGCACATCGCACTGAGAGCTAGTTTGTGTGTGCACGCAGGTGAACGATACGCGGGTTCTCTCTCCTCCCCCTTGCGGGAGAGATACTGGTGTTGCTGGTGTTGCTCGCTTTGCGCGACAAGCAAAACCAGTTTACGCGCAAAGGACAGAACGCATAGCGTCTATCTTTCAGCTTCCTTCGATGGATTCTCAGGTCAATCCTCTCCTTCGCGCGCGAGATCACGCGTACTACAAGGCAGTCATGCACAATCATGCTATCCCACCATCGCTATTCGGGCCCACCGCGCGTTCCTAGAGCTGTATCAAAGGCAAAAGTGGGCACCACCACCGCTCGTCCCTGTCCCTGACCGTCGCCACCCGCCACATCCGCGCGTCATCGTCTCTTGTAGGGGGCCCCTGTATATTTCCCCACGGGAAGGTGGTGGGTCACCGTGCAATAACATCGTGCACATCCCAGTGTCTATTCTAAGGCGGTGATCTACGTATATAAAGTCGTCGGGGCGAGACGCGGGTTTAGAAGCCTTGTACTACTCGTCGATCTACGTATCGGGATTGACAAGAGAGAAGAGCGCATCAGAAGGGCTCTTACGGTATCGACCAGTTAATCGAGAGAAGGGCCGCAAGTTTTTGCCGCAGCGTGAACATCACATTTCCTTCTCCTCGCGTCCCTGTAGCTTTCGTGGGTTCGGGTCCAGGTGGGTCAATTTATCATTTCCGTTATTCGTGGATCATTGAATGTTGAACTCGATTCGTGCTCGTTCATACGTCGCTCGAAGGCACGCGTATCGACAATTGCATCTTGGCTTACGTATCATCAGCATTTTAGTTGCATCTTACTGTGCGTCAATATTAAATTTTTTTGTAATTTACTCTTATAATTATCATAAATAAAAAAAATTATTATTTTATTTTATTTATTTATAATAATAATAATAAGAATGAATTACAAAAGAATAAAATAATAATTTTTTTTATTTATAATAATTAATAATTATTATAAATAATTAAATTTTATTCTATAAATAAATTTTTTTATTTTTTTATGCATATTAAATTGTTTATAATTGAATTGTAATCGGTATCAAATGTTCAGATATATCCATAAAATATATTTTATTTCTTTCCTTAACTGAATTTATGTTTCAGCAGAAGAGTTATCATGAAGATCCTAGTATTGGCATTATTTTGCCTGGGAGTATGTTTGGCAAATCCTTTGGAGAAAAAGGAGAAGATAAGCGCCATAGAGCAGCAGTCTGTGACGCTAACGGATCGAGCTAAGTACGAAGAGGAACTTCTTCGTAAGCTCAACTCGAAATGCTCCCAAAACGATATTAGTAGTTGCGTGATGTTGAAGTTGGTGACGTATATGAACAAGTTGTTGAAGAAGGCCTCGATCGAGCTCACGGATGACATCGAGATCAGGAAGACGAGCCAAACGTCAGAGGATGTGATCACGTTCGAAGCTGGTAGAAGTAAGGACGATGAGACGCAATTTCTTGATCTCGTCGCAAATAAATTTTACGCCTTCATCAAATCGAGAAGCATCAACTGGAGGATTTTACCCGAGGATGATATTGTTGTGTCCGCGTCGGAGGATGAGACTGGCTCGTTAAATTTGGGTCTATCTATCGAGCGCGCTGACAAACCTATTCAAGACGGTAATTATAATTTTGCATTTTTTCACGAATGTTTTGTCACTGTTTTTTCAGGCAAAATATGCACATTTAGTATTAAAATCAGATGTTTGATAAGCTGCACCGAGCGTACTTAAGGCATAATGAATTTTCTTTATTAAAAATTTGTTTATAGATGAGTCATATATTTTCATAGATTTTAAAAATTCGATATAACTAAATATTTCAAATTTTATTCTAAACAAGTAAAATTTTATTCAAAATTTATTTAAAATATTTGTAAAAAAATGTTATAAATTTAATTTCTCTAAATTTTTTTTATTTTAGTTATTCAGAAATTATTAATTATTTTGCTTCCCTATTAAGAAAAAATTATGCTAGTATTGAATAAAGAATATCACGCTAAATACATCGAACACTCTTTATACCTTACATATTTAAATGACGTGTTAGCTTTAGTCTGGTTTCGATTTTCGCTGTATTCGCGCGAGTAAAGTTATGTCACCGACTGCATAAACAAATAGCTTTCTCCTTTGGTTCATTCATCCGCTTATCACCGAACTTTATTGCTTTTCGCGTGGAAAGTACAATTATGCATGTCGCGCCACTTCTTCGCCCACTGCTTGGCTAATTCATCGAAAGTGACAATGAAGTTATTTTTGTTTCGCCTTTTACAGGACGTGGAAAGAAGAACAACATGGGCCCGTTGATTGCCGCGGCTGTCTTGAAGATGGGCCTCATCGCTGGTCTCGCATTCAAAGCGCTCGCCCTCTTGGTCGGCAAGGCTCTTCTTCTATCGAAAATCGCTCTTCTATTAGCTGGTATCATAGGTCTAAAGAAGCTCTTTTCGCAAGGAAAGCACGTGACTTACGAGGTGGTGGCACATCCTCATCATGACCATGGCCACGGCGATAGCTATTCCAGCGGATGGGGGAGAAGTTTTCATGAACAAACGCCGATCTTTGGACAGTCAGAGGCGCATGAACTGGCTTATTCGGCGCACGTAAAGTAAATAATTTTTATGGTCGAAAAAAAGCCAGTATCCAAGGATCGTCCGAGATCGATGATTGAGATGAGAAGTATGACGTTCTCGGATCCATATTTTTGAGAATTTTCCGTAGAATCACCCCGCATAGTATTTATTTATATTATCCGTTTTAATTTTTTTTCCTTTTTGTCTTTTTTCCTCTTTTTTTATCTCTCTCATCTTCTGCGATCGTTATCGTTGCACCCTCTAACTCTCTTTGCAGTAATAGCAAACATACTCTGTTTATTTATTAAATGTCATGCCCGAATTTTTGGACGACGAACAGCACGACGCATGAATACGCCAATGACGCACAGCGACGCACCTATTTACGGCAACGGCGACGTAAGGACGTCACATTACGGATTACGGATACATAGGCAGGTAAACAAGAGCATCTCCGATGTGTGAAGGACATTACAAGAGTTTTACCTACTTTCGTGACTCTACTTATAGATAATCGCGGATACTGCGAGACTCTCGTCAGTAGGACATTAGATTAACCACGAGTATTATATTCTATTATATTCTTTTCGCTCTTAGTATTTGAATCTGTGATATCTCGAAAATTTAGATCTACATTCACATTACATATTAAATATGATTATCTTACTTTTGGGTTTATAATTTTGCATATTTGGCGCTATAACTGTCTAACCGTTTTACATGTTAAATAGAATTTTTGACAAATTATACTCAGTATCGAATAATTATAAATTAATGCTGAATGTAGAGCTAAATGAATATGAGAATGCACACAGACACACACATAGATACACACATAACGCACGCACGCACGCACGCACACACACACACACACACACACACACACACACACACACACACACACACACACACACACATGTATATTATTTTCTTTATTTTTTTCCTACCAACGCTCGACACACACACACACACACACACACACACATGTATATTATTTTCTTTATTTTTTTCCAATTATTTTAATCTTTTATATATTGTTTTTTAATTATTTATTTTTTATTTACACTTTTATGATAATATTTATTGAGATTGAGTACTCTTTATATTTTTAAATCAAAACTAATTTTTAAACAAATCGCTTTTGACGTTAAATTGTGTTCGATTTTAAGCAAGATGATGTGACACCAAAGACTTAGAAAACCATTTAAGCTTTTCTGATAAGATTTTTGAAAACTTATTATGAAGATTATGTAATTTTATACTGTGATGAATTGTAAAGTATATCTTAAAATTTTATGCGTAAATAATTAGTAAATAGTTATTTAATTAGTGACTCGATAAAATATAATTATGCAGAAATTTTATGTCAATTTGAAGATCGATCAGCTTCCGCGTTATTAACTATGAAATAGAACATGTCTTCAACAGAGAGTCTTGTAGCGATCTGCTTGACGCAATGGACGGACGAGTTTATGTACGAACTTGTAGATAGTTTTTTAACAGAAGGACAGAAAAAAACTCAGACGCACACAATGCCAAAATGACGAAAAATAGCAATATTATATAAGCGCATGTATAACTATGCTTTATTTATATTTATTTTATATGCCTTTTATTTATATTGTGTCCGATTAACAAGACTGCAAAATGTATAATATATACAATATTTTTATATTATTTTTTATATAAACAAATAAATATTTATTATTTTTATAGAACTGCACTTATCTGTCACACTTACAATTATAAAAATATTATAAGCGGATATAATAATTTTACACTTTTTTATCTTTGTTATATATGACAAAAATGTTGTTTTGTACACATCGTTATTATATGTAGAATATTTTTAAAAGGAAAATGGAAACAGGATTTGTTATCTCATTTAAAGAATTATCGAAATAAGATTTTGACATTAAAGCATCTACAATAATAATAATTAATAAGATCTATCGTTTTAAATAAAATTTTTCAGGACGTCTCTTTGTTTCACGTATTTACTATATTAATCCTTTACTATATTAATCCTACCTATAAATACACATTCGTTTTTTCATTTGTCACAACAAAATATGATCATAACTGCTAAGTTTTTATACATATAATATAGTAGAATTAATAACAAATAATTGTGATTTATCGTTGCAATTCCGTAATGCTCTACCATTTTTAAAACTGCAAAAAGAAATATTTGACATTAAATTTAAGATTGCCTCCCATTTTAATCGTGAATGATCAATGTTTCTGGTAAAACAACTTTCGAGTAAACCAAAACGGATATGCTCAACTACACATTGACTAAACATAAGTTTCTACGTACAATACAGCTATGAATAGCTATGAACGATACTACTATGCGGTAAGCATTTTAGTCACGATCGTTAGTTGTGGTCTATTTAAGACATCTTGTAGACCGGATAGGATAAAGCATCATATAGACGTGAGAATAAAAGTTCTCGCGATTTCACATCCAGGCGATTCATTTCGTTAGTTTGCAACGGTAAAATAAAATTGCAAGTGTGCAAAAAACTTACAACTTAATAATTGAGATATTTAATGTCAATAATTAACAAAGGTTATAAAAATATAATAGCCAATAAAAATAATTGTATTCATAAATGATTAATTATATGTACGTTTATCAATTTTTAAACTTACAACTTGAATGTAATGTAATATATATTTGAATCCTATTTTGTACGTGTGTACAGTTTAAGAAGAAAAGTAGCACATTTTTCGTTACGTGAGATTCTTACATAAAGATTTTTCTGGACAATTAAATCACTGAAAATATTAAATGTCAAGTGTAACGTTCCGGCTTATGATTCTTAGCGGGACTTTAGCGCCAGACGTGTGATTATATTAACCAGCTTATTATATATGACATAATGTGCCTCTGTATTTTGCAGTCATATTATTACAAGTTTTCATAATATCTTGTAGTATATTTAAAACTTCTTTTTGCGATTAGTAGCATATACGATATAATAGCAATTATTTGATTTTTATATTTTATTCTTTCCATCATATTTTTAAATTTATATATATACAATCGACCAATCTGAAAGTGGAACAAGTTGGCGCCTCTCTGATAATCTAGGACTCTACTCTTAAGGTGCCTTTTCACGCTGACGCTCAACGCTCATTTTTAGCGTCAAAATAGGTCACGTGATTAAAATTGACGCTACATTGTGAAAAACACATGAAAAGGGTTTAGCATCGAATTTATAGCGTCAATACCGTGTATGTAATCGTATGTGAATCATGTCATTCAGAAATAAATATTACATGTGGTTAAGCGAGTGTACGAAAAAATTATCAGAACGAAATCGGCAATGTAAGAAACTTTTAGCGGTAAATGTTCAGATTAACTTACACCTCACGGATCGTTTTCATTTTCACATATATTATAGGGGCACATTCCTAAGTAATACGCACTTTGAATTTTGTGGCGCTCTCTTCTGGTTCCAGAGATACAATCATGGATTTTGCCACGCATTTTTTCCTGTCATTATTTTGGAAGAAGCACGATTAAAAAAAAAAATCTTATTCGAATAGCCAACAGCACGGCTTGACGCTGAAGCTGAAGAAATCCAGCTTTTTTTTTCTTGACGCTAATAACGTTTCCTACGATAATTTTTTCTTTCCTATTTTTATAATTCATTATTTATTAGAACTGCTGCTAAAAGTTTCTTACATTGTCGATTTCGTTCTGATATTTTTTTCGTACATTCGCTTAACCACATGTAGTATTTATTTCTGAATGATATGATTCACATACGGTATTGACGCTATAAATTTGATGCTAAACCCTTTTCATGTGTTTTTCATAATGTAGCGTCAACTTTAATCACGTGACCTATTTTGACGCTAAAAGTGAGCATCGAGCGTCAGCGTGAAAAGGCACCCCTTTATGCATAGTTGACTCTCCGTAGGCTTGTTGAATCATTTGTGACGTTTCTATTGGCGACTTCTCTAATTTAACGCGGAATTTAATGTTGGCGCGTTGTCAAGCGTTCCTTCCATTACACCGTTTTTTAAACAAAATTTTGTAACCCAACTTTGCGTAACTGTACCTCATTAACTATTGAACCAAATAATTTAAAACTTGTACCACGTGTTGAGTATTGAGTTGTGAATAACCTCCTAAAATGGCAGCACAAATGGATCAAACGTACTAATTTTATATTCATTCCCTTTCTTTTTTCCTCTCTCTCTCTCTCTCTCCCTCTCTCTCTCCATCTCTCTCTCCATCTCTTTCTTTTTTCTTATTTTTCATCTTTTCTTTAACTTTATATTACTATCATTTTATAGTATTTTTACTTTCAAATAAGAGACACGCCTTCCAACCCGTAATTCAATCCCGCATAAGGTTACGAGTGTTGAGCGCGCGAAACGCTGACGCAGCGAGCCACGCGCGGAGGTTAAGCCACCGCGAAAACGCGATCGGAGTAATTGCAAAAAACGCAGAAATAATGGCGAAACCGATCGACGAAATTGCGAAAGTGCAAGCAAAGAAGTTCGATTATGAACTTTCTTCGCTTGCACCTGGGTTTACCGACACGAGTTAAGCGACACAATCATATTTGGTCATGTTACGGAGCGATTCCCTTCAAAAACTAATCGAAGGGGAGACAATAAAACTACCCAACAGGCGGCAGGCAGTCGTAATTAACAAGTAGTGTATCACAAAATTATGGAAAGTCGTAATAGTGAGTCTCGCGACATCAGACACGATATATAGATATCATAACGCGATATCAACACGCGCGCGCGAAGTCATCCGAAATCGCTATAAGCGAAACGGTCTAAAGAGCGAGGAGTGAAATAAGATTTATACATATATATAATCTTTAATCCAATATATATATTTCTAACAAATCATGTGTATATAAGTATGTGCTACTTAAATCTACAAAAAACCAAGTGAGTTGGGCGGAGCCCAAATTTCCAAATTCCTATCCCGCAACCGATCCCGAAATCCCCGTGCCTCATTTGAGGCACTACAATAAGATAACAATACTCTTCTTTTGTTATTATTAAAAAACGATAAAGGTATCTACATACAGTGGAGTATTTTGTTAATTTTTTCTCTATTTATCAATACATAAACCGGCTAACCAGTATTGATTCGTTTGATCGTCAAAGACAAATTCGTACTCTTTATCTTGGTAGACCGTTTTGAAATTGGAATTCAATTCTTTGCGCGAATCGGGGTACATGGCTAATTTAGGTTCTCCGTGATCGAGGAGCATAATCGTGTTATCCGTATTAACTATCTCGATACCTTTCGGATAACATAGATCCCATTTATCGGCAGGAAATTGCACCGCTTGTCTATCACAGAATGTCAGCGTGCGGTTTTTACAATCCCATCTTAGATGATATATGTATACATTATGATCCCCCTGTTCCCATAAATGTTTCTTTTCAATGAAGATGATCATATCATAATCTGTATGTCGATGTATACGAATCCATATATCTATAGTATGATTATTGTAATCGCAAAGTATGTATTCGTCTACGCTAAAACGGCCGTGTTCGCTTTCCGAGTTACGAGTGTAACGCATTTCTTCACAATTATAAAAATGTCGCATCATTCCGATATTGGCGTACGAAAACACGAACCCCGCGCACACAATTGGACATTTGTTAGGTTTTGTAAGAAATGTCGTAGTTGTCGTAGTTTTGGTTTTAAGTCTACAACGTTCTGTTACAGGTTTGAGTGGATCTCCTTCAACGCACTTTTCGTAAAAAAATCCAACGTCCGGAAATGTAGGTTTGCATTCTTGGTTAGCAAAATAAACATTTCTATATTGTACCCAATATTGCGCCATATCATCATTTGTTT